CAGGTTTTCTTCCTGTGATTGGCTCCTGGTCTTCCATTTGCAAGCCAAAGCTGGTTGAGAATAGGACTTCTATGAGTAGCTTGGTACTTTTTGAAGACAGATGTCTCAAGATGCTATTTTTGCTGTTTTGGAATCACATTACACATATTTATAAGAGGATCTCTTTACATCTTTTATTGTCTTTGTCTCAGAAGTAAGAAAAAGGTAAAGGTTTCCCCAGGGATTTTACCCCTCTAGCTGTGCTCATCTCTATTCCTTAAGCCAAAGGGCCAGTGTTGTCCAGAAATGTAGTCATGTGGCCAGCACAACATCACGCTGAAGCAGTGTGTATGGTGAAAAATGTATGGTGTTACCTTCCCACATGCTTATAGGGGGTACTATTCATTTACTTGCATTTGCATGCTTTCAAACTGCTAGGTTGGCAAGAGCTGGGACAAGTAACAGTAACTCACTCTGTCTTGCGGCACCCGGGTCTCAAATGGCCAAGCTGTAGACGTTTTACAATCTAAGATTCAGCGTCTTAAGCACTGAGCCACCGCATCCCCTTGTCTCAGGAGAGCAGCAGCTAAAACAGCTTTCTATAGAGCACTGACATTTCAAATGTTATTATTTACAGGTTAGTGTAAATTGCTGTTTTTGAAATGCTAATTGCTACATATTTGAGTTTATTTTAAATGTATTTGAACACTAGGAACGCTGCAGCTGAGCATCGATTAATATGTTGCTTTCATATGTTTTAACAATTCTTACTGCAACATTTTAGGACAAGATTAATGGGATGAATTTATTCATTGTGGGAGGTGGAAGGAGACAGAAAAAAAAATCTTTCTCTGCTGTATAAAAATTGTCACTAATCATTTTAAACTATGCCCTTTTATGCTTCTTTGGTTTCTTTTAGCTTTCTATACAGTTCTTTGATGTAACAAAGACAGTTCCAGACAAGATTTCAGTTCATCTGAAAAAAGAAAAGTCTTGAGGCAAAATGCAGTGTATTTAAAATTTATATACTTTATAAATGCCTTTCTTCTGAACTTGAACATCATGCAAAACTTCTCAGGTTTCTTTTACCTATCAACTATAGGATCATTCCCTTTCTTGGTTTCAACTTATTAATGCAGTGCTGAGTTTAAGTGGTGGTTCTTTCTTTTACCTACATGAACACTCGTGTCTGACTTCCCTGATCAGTTGCTATTCATGCAGCTTTCACTGATAAAATAGCTAAAATAGCCAATTAGATTAAAGCAAATTAAGGGATGGTTGACGTCAACCATTTCTTAAACTGAATCCCATATCCACAAAATGTGCACTAGTTCCTGTTAAGATAGAAATCTTTATCCTCTTAGCAGTGGTGAAATCTAAAATTTGTTACTACCAGTTCTGTGGGCATGGCTTGGTGGTGGTGGGGTAATGTGACTGGGTGGGTGTGGCCAATTTTTTTTTTTTTACTTTTAAAACCATTTTTTCTACAACCTCTTTGGCGAAAAAAGTTTTTTTCTTTCAAAAGGCTCTGACGATCCCATCTGAGTTGCCTGATCGTCAGAGGGTTTTTAAAAAACCCTCTGCCGATCAGGCAACTCAGCTGGGATCGTCAGAGCTTGGATCGTCAGAGGCATTTAAAAGAAAAAAAAACTTTCTTTTTCTTTTAAATAGGTCTGACGATCCAACCCTGAGTTAAAAACCGACCAAGGCAATTCAGCTTGGATCATCAGAGCCATTTAAAAGAAAAAAAGCCTCTGATGATCGCGCAGTTCAGCTGGGCATGGGGTGGGGCAGGGATTTTTGCTACCGGTTCTCCGAACCACCCGCCTCCAACACTACCGGATCGGGCGATCCGGTCCAAGCTGGGAGCATTTCACCCCTGCCTCTTAGCAACTTTACATCTATCTCTGTTAAATTTCATTTGTCATTTTCATCCCATTTCTTTAGCCTCTCAGAATTATTGAGTTGCATTTTTTCTTCTATAGAATTGTCTATTTTACACAATTGTGGATAATCTGCAAAACTCTATAGCAATTCTGTACTTCTATTTATCCAAGTCACTAATCAAAATGGTAAAAAGAAGAAGGCCCAATACTTCTTTTTTATGTCATGAAAAAAAAGTTGCTTCCAATGGTATCTTTTGCTACAAGCAGTCATAGGTTAATGATGGTAATTGGGACTACAACTTTCATCATTAAACAATGTGATCATAAAGTACAATGTCACGTATATATTCTGCTTAGCAATGGCAATTCTGGCAGTCCCAGTTACCATTGTTAAGGGAGGATCGTGTGCTTCATTGATTTTGTTTGTGGGAAGTCTGCAGAAAATGTCACAAATCACAATTGCATGACTGTGGCTTGTTGTAACTTTGTAATCAAACCAGACACCAAAGTCCTGGATCATGATCACGAAACTGAAGAGACCGTATGATGGTCAGGACTCCAAGACCAGTTGGAAGCATATTCATTTAGTGCTGTTGCCACTCTGAATAGTCATTGAACAAATGGATGCAAGCCAAGCACTAACTGTAATGGTATATTAATATTAATTGTATAATGTCAGTAATTACCTGTCCATTATTATTATTATTATTATTATTATTATTATTATTATTATTATTATTTTGCTTTAATTTATATGCCGCCCTTCTCTGGAGACTCAGGGTGGCTTACAATGCATTAAGCAATAGCCTTCATACTTTTGTATATTTATACAAAGTCAGCTTATTGCCCCCACAATCTGGGTCCTCATTTCACCTACCTTTGAAAGGATGGAAGGCTGAGTCAACCTTGAGCCTGGTGAGATTTGAACTTGCAGTAATTGCAAGCAGCAGTTGTTAATAACAGTGCTTTAGTCGACTGTACTACAGGCTATTCTTAATATCTCTTTGGAAATTTTTTGTTTTAAATAATTCTTTTAAATTTTTAAATTTTGTATTGGATGTTTTTTACTTGGCTGTGCACCGCCCTGAGTCCACTAGGAGAAGGGCGGTATACAAATTTAAATAAAATAAAAATAAATAAAATAAATAAATAGAATAAAAAAGAATAAAAGGATTATAATAAGACTAAAAAGTAATCAAATAACTAGAGAGTAGTTGATGTACCTTCTAAAAGAGAGAATTGAATATATAAAGATACGCTGCATTACTACATAAATTTTAACTATAAATACAAATATTAAACATATTTAACCATTTGATCAAGTGGACTGTTTTGAAGTGCAGTTTTAAAAAATGAACAATAGTTCTGGCCTTTAATCATAAAATCATAAAATAGTTCTGCCCTTTAATCATAAAACCATCCATTTTATTTTATTCTTCTTTTCCCAATCCTCTGCAATAAGTAGAAATTGTTTCCAAAGGTTGCTTCAACCTCCTCCTCCTCCTCCTCCACCACCTCCTCCGCCTCCCCACCCTCCTCCTCCTCCTTCCTTCCTTCCTTCCTTCCTTCCTTCCTTCCTTCCTTCCTTCCTCCTTCTTTGTCATATTTTGTTACAAATAATTTTTATGCCTGGGATGGTGGGGTTGTGATGGCTTTAAATAAGAGGTCTCAATCGATTACTGCAAGTTTCCAATTTTGGATAGGATTTAAGTGAATTGTCTCATGCAGGTTATTAAATTAGTGGTTAAGGTAAAAAAATCTTAAGGAAAAGTGTATTGATAGAAATACTGAAGGACATTAATTGAGTTTTTGTATTCTATATTGGAGTTATAAACAAGGGTGTTAGCTATAACTGGTGATACACAAGACCATCTAAAAAATGAGTGGATGGCTGAACAGGATTTTTCAAATTAGTAGAGAAACTCCAGCATTAGTGAATGTTTACTGTCTAGGGTACCAAATATCAAATTTTGCTAGAATTATACCTTAATAGTGTTGGGGAATGAGGAGGGAAATAGCTAAAGGATAGACAGGTAAGCAATACTTCTCTTTCAGGAGAATTAAGACAAGCAAACAATCAAAACTTGGCTCAATTAATTTTGGCAGGCTATTCTAATAAATTCCTCTTAAAACATTTATAATAAAGAGCTATAGTTTACTATTTAATTTAAAATGTGCATTTAGGTCTTGGATGCTAATACAGTCAAAATATTATAATAAAACATAATGGCAAGGTAAATACAGATTATAGAATGTCTTATATATCAGGGCTTTTTTCATATTTGCTGGTTCATTTATTATTCATTTCAGTTCAAATCACAGTCCACTGGACAATGGGATGGAAGATCTTTAATAACTTTCAATGCTAATTTAATTCTACTTAAATACACATAGTCTACTGAATGCCACATGCTTTTCAGCATGATTTTATGTGTAAATCAAGATAATATGCTTTCAGATCATTAAGTAAAAGGAAGCATGAACTAAAACCTATTTAATCAATGAGGTATTGCTTTTAAAGTACCACAAGGTCATAAAAAAGATCATTTCAAAGCAATACATTTCCTAACTGTAATCAACAACAAATGATGAAAGAAACTACATTATATGATAATTCCCAGAATAAACTGGCATAACCATATGATTACATTACCTTGGATACTCTACCTTTTCCTTTGGTACCCACTATTTTGTGGCTCACTAAATTAAAATATATTCTTCTCCACTACTGTACACTGATACAAACATCAGACAGTTTTCTTGATACAAATAAACCACTGAAAACAGTACAAACTGAACCTAGTGATTACACAATGCTTTTTTTTCCTTTTGTGCACAAAACATTTCACATATGTATCTATCACAATCCTATATATTAAAATAGTATTACTTCTCCAGAATAGCAGCTCTAATACTGTATAGTATATTTAAGGATAAAAGAGGGACACGGTGGCTCAGTGGCTGTTGATGAACTATTGATGAAAGTATAGTTCTTTTTCTCTTTGTTCTACCTCCAGGCTGTTTAGTGTCCTCTGGAGGCAAGTAATAGCACAGCTCTACTTCATGTACTTTTGAATAGCAGTCATAAAGGGTCATTAAGAGAGGGCATATAGAACTGCTTTATTGTATACTTACCACCAGCAGGCAGGGCAATTTCTACAGGATCACTGATCACATAACCTTGGCTATTAGAAGCATTCACTTCCACTGTGTAGTTTGAAAATGGAATTAGCCCTCCAATGGGTACCCAGACATTTGCTTCTTTGCCGGTATGTAAAATTTGTGTGCAATTTAAAATACTGTAATTGCCATTAGCTGAAAGAGAAAGAAGGAAACTATGAGATCTTCAACTGTTACAACTTGAACATTTCTGAGGATAATAGGTTTATTCCACTAAAGCCAGCACACTGTTACCCCATTTCCCCCAAAATAAGACATCCCCTGATAATAAGCCCAATTGGGCTTTTGAGCGCATGGCAATAAGGCCAAGCACTTATTTCAGGGTTCAAAAAAATATAAGATAGGGTCTTATTTTTGGGGAAACGCGATAGTTGAAAAATTACATGATTATTGTTTGGTGTTTTAGTCACCAAAATTCAATATCAATGCTGTTGACAAGCTTAAGGTGGAAAGAGACCAGGGTTCCCCAACTGTGCATCTGTAATTTTGAGAATGTGGTGTGGATGGTTTCACAAAATAGCTGCTAGGGAAGAGAGGGATCACCGGTTAGTCTCCTTCACTTCTCCCATTCCTACTGAATACCCCTTTCTCTTTCTGCCATGCTATTTACTTTTGACATTTTCTTTCCAAGCAGTTAAGGGAAGCCACCCACATTTCTTTAATTTTTAAGCAAACAATACATCCCATTTGGCATTTTGGAAATAAAAGGTGCTGGAGGTTGGTGATAGATCAGCAGTGTAACCCTTTGTTTTTTCTTCTTTTTTGAACAAATACTCCGGCACAAGTAACATTAGCCTGACATTAGCCTTGATCAGGAATAATACATTGGCTTGGAAACTGCAAGAAATAAATATTAGATGGATCAGAGTCTAATTATTTATGTTCTTCCACTACTGACTAAATTAAAGGGAATGTCTTCCAGAATCGCTAAGGCATTCAAATACCTACTTCACTATCAAATCAAAATAAGTCAGGAAATGGGTTATCCCAATTTTTCCTTTCCTCCCACCAAATTAAACTATTGATATCCTTGTCATGATTGCTATCCTTGCTTAACCAGTTCTTCTTAGGTATTAGAAGAACTAAGATAGTTGTACATTGCTTTTCTCGAACCTCCTTCATTGCTTTTCTTGAACCTCCTCCATTTCTCATGTACATGTAAAAAAATTTTTTTTTTAAAAAAATTCCATGTTAAAGTGTTGAAGAATTCAAACTAGGTTCCATATGTAAAAACTCTGAGCCCTCTGTTTCTGTTGCTGGTGGCTTTCAGGACTCATACCCTGAGACATTTAAAGGAAGACAAATGGGCAAGAGGATTTAAAAATAGGGAAATCAAAGAACTGTGAGGGCGGGGGGGGGGGGGGAGACTGCTACCAAAGGATGCTCAAAGGATTAACACCCAGCTCCTGAAAGAGGCTGAGAGAACTGGCTGTATTTAGTCTTGAAAAACGAAGAAAACAAATTATGATTGATTTACAGACAAACCAACCAAAAAGATAAAAAGCTTCTCTGTTTAGGGTGGCATGGGGGTTGGGAATCTTGTTTTCAGAGTTTTAATGTATTTTTTTCCTGTTTTGTATTTTATAATTTTTCTATTTCTATCTGCGAAACTTGTGCAGCTACTTAATTTTTCCCCCCAGTAGAACCAACATTCTAGAGATAGGGCAAGAAACTGGTAGATGGGGTGAGTTTTATCCCTAGCTCCTGAATATTTCATAAATTTATTTATTTATTTTTGATTGTAAGCCTCCCAAACATATCCTGTGGTATGATGAACAGTCAATAAATGTATGATGGACGGTCAATAAATCTTATAAATAAATAAAATAACTTAGTAAAATCACTGTATTTTTCAAACTATCCATTATTAGTCTTAGAACAAACAGAGAGTCAAACCATTGCTTAATCTACTATTAAGTACATATGCCCAACTTTTATTGAAGTGCAGTGAATGCATTTTCCATGTCACTTTGGGATATCCCACTGCATGATGTACATAGATGCCTCTTTGCACATGGATGTAAAGCAAAATATGAAAATGTGCTAAGACATCTAAAACAGATGCAAGTGCTGGTATCTAGCAAGTAATCATAGGCAAAACAGTTTCATCCATTTCTTTCCTTAAAATAAGTTTTATTTTCCTTTACATGTTCCATCTATAAAGCCCATTTCCATCTACATAACAAATAATAGTTTTTATATTTCAAAATGCTACTGAGAAAAAAAAAGCTTCAAGCTAAGCAACACTTTGTTCTGTTGCCTCGATAACAACATTAATACACAGTAATTATATAATTAGTTGTAACATTAAGTTCTAGTTATAGCAGCATGATTACTTGGCAATTATGAGAAGTATATAATTACTCAATAATTATGAGAAGTATGTAATTACATAACCGTTTCATTCAGCTGCCCCCCCCCTCCAATGAACTTGCATATTTATAACGAGTTTGGTGATGCAGAAGTTCAAATTGCTCACTAAGTCAAATTTAAACAAAGGAGATGGTGGAAGATCTCCTAACAAGAATTATAGGCAGAACAAAGGTTTCTCATCCAAGCAGTTTACGGTCCTGGCAACTAAAGTATTAGGGAAATTTCTTTCCCCCCTTTAAAAATTCAAGTTCTCAAATTACTCATGCTGGAAGTGACACAGTATGCCATTTTGCCACTTTTCACTGAATAAACCTGACTTTCAGTGGGCTGGAAAATGCAGCCACATTGGTTCAGCCTGAAAGAAAGTGTGATACTGATAAGCATTTCACATAAGTGAGTGGTGCATTCATTTTTCCATTTTTTCATATGTCTCCTCTTCTACCTGACCCACAATCCTAAATTCTACACTTTGGCATCAGGATCATGCTCTTGCCTCTAAGGGCAATAATTTAAGATACTGGTAAATTTCAAGTGTTCTTGAAATTCCATAATGCTTTATACCAAGACAATATAGAGTTTGTTTTATCCTTTCCTTCCTAGTCATATGTTTTAATCAATAGAATAAACAGTTTATCAACTCCATTCAACAAAGACACTTTGAACTAGTCAGTTAGCCAATGACATCTTCAGGGACCTTACTAACATTATTATAATGTTTATGTTGCTAATTTTACTCACGCAAGCACTTCAATTCTATAGAATAAAAGATTTTCATTCTTACAGCTTGTTTGCAGTGGTAATCTCTTGAATGAAGTAGGATGGTGTTTGGTATCTGCCAAGCTCCATCTTTACAAAGGAGTTCTGAACATTAAAAAGGAAGAAATGGCTTACCGCTTTAGCTAAAAATGTTCTGACCAAATTAGAAAGAGGCATAGGAGCATGATGAGGATTTATTTTTTATTTTTTTTAAAGGAGAGCTGTCCATGATCTCTGTGCCAAAAGGTGAGCCAGTTACTCTGCCACAAATGCTAAGCATGAAAAAGTTAGTGAACAGTGTTGATTTTCCTTGATCTTTGTCACTTTTTCTTAATTACAGAATCATTTAGGAAAAAGTTCAGCCCATCTGACTGAGGTTATTCTTTCAAAATGAAGTCCAAGATACCCTTTGGGCTGGCTACTGCCTTTGACAGCCTAGGCCAACCTCCCATTGTGCTCACTAAGATCAGGTTGTGGAAGTAGCACTGATAAGTAAATGCCACTGAGAGCAATCAAGCAAGAAGATGAAGGCAGATTTTCCATTCCTTCTACTGCTTATAACCTGTGTATCAAGCAATTCCTTCTTTCTTTCTTTAAAAAAATACTTTTATCTCATAGACTCACAGTTCCTGCTGAGAAGAGGGAGGTGAAAAATAAATGACCTCTTGACTCAAGTATATTTAGGGGCTTGTTCTACACAAAGAGATTCACAAAGGAGATATATTATAGTCCTGAAAAGTCTGCAGGCTATCATATCCCCTGCTGTGTGAGTAAAGGAGGGAAGCACACAAGTCATAGATAGCTATGAAATACTTGTACCAGGGTTTCTTTTTAAAAGAAATAATACTAATCTGTAGTTTTTTAAAAATATAATTCAAAGCACAATTTTAGTTGCCTTTTTAGAAAAACATGAACTTGCATTGACAGTAATTGGCAGATGGGACTTGGGTGGAAAAGGATCAATAGAGGTTAAATGCAATAAATTAGGAGATTAAAATATTTTACACAGAATGATGGCGCATGAACAACTGCTCTATTTAAAGATTAAAAATACCAGTAGCACAAATGACTGAATAGCTTTAATAGCTTTAAATATAAACTTTGGTTAACAGGTAAATTTGTTCTTTCTCATGAATTAAAATCTTGCTTTGGACTGTAGACAGTTTTGTTTTCATAAGAAATCATCTTACATTGCATAATAATCAAATACTAGGTAGATGATTTCATCAAATGAAAAGAGCACTTTCATTTCCAGGTTTAAATATAGAAGTAGATTCTTAAAGACAATGAATGTAATTGGAATGTTAAGAAATAACTAATTCTAAATTAGTTGCGGAAGCACAGACAACATATATTATTTATAAATCCAATAAATAAATAAATAAATAAATAATAATAATAATAATAATAATAATAACAACAACAACAACAACAACAACAACAACAACAACAACAACATGTTACTGGTGCTTTGATCTTTACAACCTACTCTATTCTTGAATCCTGGGTTCAAAAGAAGACTCCCTTCAAGTTAAAGCTTTTCTTTTTTAGCCATAAACATTGAAAAAGAGCTGCCCTTCATCCAGCTTTAGGTTTACTGAAAGTTCAGCCTTCCTGAGGAACGTTTGGAGAATCGCAGTTCATAAATGCCTATCTGATTATTGTTTTTAATAATCTGGACCATGTACTGGAGAATTCCATGTCTTACCTTGAAATGCCTCTTGGTGATTTCCAATTTGTTTTTGTACCCATATGCCATATTGGCTGTAAAAATAGCCAGGAGTATATCCAATTTCCCTTGTAAAGTAAGCTGTCATGGGGCTTGCTATATGCTATCCGTGACTAAGGATGGAAGTATAAGAAAATGATTTGGGAAAAAAGCTCCAAACAGCTGGTTATTTTTATTTTTTTCTTCAGTACCCATGTACCATATGTATAAAATTCTTTCAGACTGGTAGGCTAAATTATTTCTGTTCTGGGGCCATCATCCTGTGGGATTCGCTAGA